TAGTGTGTGTTGAAACGCACAAACCTGATGTATGCACACAACCATATATAAATTTTAGAAATGCTTTAACTGGAGAATGGTACTCCACCCAGTTTGGAATACTGCTCACCTGCAGGAAGACAGATGGGAAGAAGGCTGGGCGCAGGTGGTGTGTATCCCACTCTGTGACATCACGTTGCCCTCTGAAAACGTCAGAGAGAGGATCTGTATATGGATGGCATGAAGCTAATAAATCCCATCTTCAGTATGGACTTATGGGTGTCTCTTTAGTCTTCACACTCTCGTATGGGTGACATTTTTTCATAATTAGCCATTTAAAATAAGAGAGCAGTGTCGCCCTGGGACCCCAGATGGCCAATCTCAGGGCTTCTTCGAGTCACGGTAGACCTTAGTGCCTTTCTATCTGCCACCTATGTCCAGAGCAGGAAACTGACCCCTACCCGGACACCTTGGGAAGGAAATTGGCTTGGTCCTGAGAAAGAGTGATCCCCTGACCCTGCTTTCTCCTCCCTGCCAAGGCCACCTGCCCATCTGTTACCCCAACCTGGCCCCTAGGATACAGAGACTGAGCCTCAGCCACGCTGTCCCACGCTGCCCACTGAGATCCCAGGGTATCTCCACGCTGAGACATTTTAACAGCTGATCCTGAGCCATGGAACCAGGACCTGGCAGGTGGCTGTCCCTGGGAAAGACAATGGTGAGGTCCCTGCTGGTGGACAGGATCTTGGTGGATGGGAACTCACTCCGACAAGGGTGATTTCGTAAGGCATAGGAGTGGATACCAACGTTAAAAGAACTAGGACCTAGGAGTGCAAGAATGTAGGACCCATGTGGGAGCTGCCGTCATCACAGGAGAGAAGACGTCACTCGCAGGTTGGTCCATCTGGGGACAATCTGGGGACAGGTATGGTGGCCTTGGTACTGCCTGTCGCATGTGCGGGCACTGCAAGCCATGAAGCTTGAAGGCTCAATGCCAGCGGGCAGCAGCAGGGCCTGGGCATGTCTGTCACAGCTGTCACTGAGGACACCATAGGCTTAGTGGTTTGAGTTCCGTTCTGAGTCACCTTGCAGTGGGAGAGGAGGAGGAGGCCCTGGGGCTCTGAGTTTGCCCCGTGGTTAACAAAGTCAGGTGAGAAGAGGGTCCTTTGTCAGCAGGAGTTCTTTGGGGTTCCTACAAGGAGGAGTCTCGAGCACTAACAGCACCTCCCCATGTGCCCAGGAAGATGGGGACACTGTCACCCCCTCCTGGCCACACTTCCGTCCATCACCACCAAGCACAGAGGGAGGTGGGGGCAGCCACCTCACTTCCGCCTCCCAGTGAGGATGAGACGCAGTGGGCATGTGGGGTGCAGTAAATGTGAGCTCCCGCCCTTGTCTCTCAAGGACCGGGGCAGCAGAATGGGGACAGTCCAGAAGCACTAGTTGCTGCACACGACAAAATCGGGCCCCTCACAGTGCAGGCGCCCGATGGTCCACATGGAGGCCAGCAGGGCAGGACGAGGGTCTCTCAGGACCAGAAAACTCTGGGGTCCCCTTCTGCCACCAAGCGGTTCTGGGAGAAGGAAAGGCAGAAGGAGCTTTCTCTTTTTTAATTTATAAATTCATCTTTGCAAATTGAATAGCCTGGTGTCTTCTTCTCTTTCCCGAATTAGCACAGGTTTGGAGTTCACAGTCATCCTGGGGAGCGTTGCGTGGACATAATACAGCATGTTTCTTTCTTTTTTAAAGACCTTTCTCCTTCCCTCTTTCTTCTCCTTCCCCCTCAGTTCCCCACCTCCTTTTTCATACCTGCTCATGTGAGGTATCTGAGCTCATGGTGGGGCACACAGGGTGTGCATTAATTGGGGTTACTAGGTTCCTGTGCATAGCACATCTTTCCTCTTTTTGTTTTTGTTTTTGTTTTTGTTTGCTTGCTTGCTTTTTGGTCTTTTTGAGACCATGCAGTTCAGCTGGCCTTCAACTCACTGTGCAGCCCAGGCTAGCCTCAAACTCATAGCAACCCTCCTGCCTCAGTCTCCCGAGTGCTGAGATTGCAGGTGTGCACCACCACGCCCGGCCACATTTTTACTCTTGTTTCCCATTCCTCCCCGTCCCCTTCACACCTTCCCACCTCTGTACTGCGAGAGATCTATCCCTTTGTCCCCTTCTACTCATTCCCTATCCTTTTCCTCACTCAAATGAGAGACCCCATACAATGTTTAAATTTGCGTCTGGTTCATCTCACTGAACATTTTACCTGCTGGGTGCACCCATTTTCCTGTAAATGTCTCAAATGTGTCCTTCTTTATAGCTGAGTAGTACTCTGTTTCGCACAGACACCACATTTTGCTTTTCAGGTCATCTGCACACAGGCTGCTCCCAGAATCCAGCTATCGCACATTGTGCTACTATAAACACTGGCGTGCGAGTGTCACTGTGCTGTGACAACTTAAGCATGTTAGGGACGTCATCTAGCAGAGGATGGCAGGGACACATAGAATCTCTAATTCAATTCTTTGAGAAATCTCCATGCTGACTTCCATGATGGCGGTACCAGTTTGCATTTGCAGCGACAGTGCAGGAAGGGTCCTCACTCACACGGTCCTACCAGCGTCTGTCATTGCTTGATTTCCTAGTGACTGCCACTCTTTCTGGAGTAAGGTGGAGTCTTAGCACTGCTTTAGTTTGCACTTCTCTAATGGCCAGAGCTGTGGACGTGCTGACCATGTGGGTGGTGGTGAACTGATTCATTGTCAGCCTGAGTGCAAGGGCCCAGCTGAGCTGAGTCCGCAGGGCTCAGGGCATGGAGGACCCACTGCAAGGACTGCGGACAGGAGGCTGACACAGGCCACATGAGGGCACCAGTAGGTAACAATGACAAGACTGTGTGGTGGATCTGCCATATCTGCGCCATTATACTCGGGAGATGTCCGGACACGAAGCGATCCAGACAGTGTCACAGATTCCTTCAGCGACAGCCCGGGAAAGGTCCATTAGTTAGGTAAAAGCTTCCTACGTATCATCTAGAGATGGTGGATTAACAGAACTGTCCTGTGTCAAAATGGAAATGTAGGTCACAAAAATGCCATCACAATTGTCAGGCTACCAAAAAATAAGAGGATTGCTGGGCTGTCATCAGGACGGTATGACGGGATAGTGGGAGGGAGGATTTCAGCTGATTTTCCCTGGAGATGCTGTGGTCCTCCTCAGCCAAGCCGAGCCTTCCTCCTGGGCATCCCTGCAGGTCCCTCCACCTCCAGCCTTACCCTTTCTGCCCACCTCACAGACTCCTTTGCTTCCCGCACCAGCCCTGCGACCTCCCTGCCCAGACCCCTGGGTCTCCCATGCAAACACTCCTGATGCGGACTCAGGCAGGACACTGCTCTGGGATCTGGCATTCAGCTGAAGTCTTTGGATCACTGACGCACCAGAGATCTTTTGCACTCTCCTCCCTTTGACTCTGCGTCCCTCATCAAATGTGATTCAGAGCATGAGCAGTCTGTGGGAGGCCTCGCCCCAGCCTCTCGCCAGCGAGCTTTTGGAAGCCCTAACCATCTGCATTTCTGCCTCTGTGAAGGGTCCGTTCGTTTCTCCTGCCCATCTCTTCATGCAGTCTTTCATTTTAGGTGGTTTAATTTTTTTTTTTTTTGAGTTTTTTGTACATTCTAGATATCAGTCTTCAGTCTGAGGTATGGCTGGCAAATCTCCCCATTCTGTAGGCTGTCTCGTCGTTCTGCTGGCTGATTTGAGTCTTTTGCTGTTCAGAAGCTTCTTACTCAGATATAATCCCATGTATTAATTCTTACCGCTATTTCTTGTGCAGCTGAGGTTCTGTTTAGCAAGTCCTTTCCTATTCTATGTCTTCCAGTGTGTCTTTTATTTTCCAAAGGTTTAATGTTTCTATTTCAATGTTTAGCTCTTTGATCCATTTTTATTTTAGCTTAGTATATGGTAAGGGATAAGGGGCTGGTTTCAATCTTCTGCAAGGAGATAACCAGTTTCCACAACACCATTTGATGAATGGTCTACCTTTCTTCCAATGTATGTTCTGGTCCCTTTATCAAAAACCAAATAGCTGAATGTGCCTGGGGAGGATTCCATATCCTCAGTTTTGTTACACTGATCAACGTCCATTTTTGTTCCAGTACCATGCCATTTTTATGCCTATTGCTTTGTGCTATAGCTTGGAGTCAGGTATTGCTATACTGCCTGCTTCGCTCTTCCTGCCCAAAGTTACTTTTGCTACTCTGGGACTCTTCTGGCTCCATATGAATTGTAGGACTCTTTTCTCTGGATCCATGAGTATGCGATTGGTTCAGTGCCTCCCAAGAATTGGCCTTGCTGGGACTGGGAGGAGCCAACCAACAAGCCAGCCACCCAGCCAGCCTTTCTGGAAAACCACACAAGCCACACAGGGCCCAGGAAGATAAAAGTCAGATAGCACCTCCCGTGAGCCCACCAGCGCACAGGCTGAGAATCACCCCTACTCCAACCTCTCCCCTGTAAGCAACCAGATGATTCAGAGGTCTGGCTGAGTTGATAGCAACTGAGGTACAAAAAGCAACTGAACACTTGCATTGTTTGGGTGGCATTTCAGGCCTGGGGCCAACAGTCTGAGCACCTCTTGGGAGGATGACAGTGTGCGATTCGATTCTGTTTTGTTTTGTTCCAATTAATTGTCTTACTTTACCCAGTGTTTCATATTGACTGTTTTTATTCTCCTTTGTTTTGACTTTGCCGTACCTGATGGGAAGGACAGCTGTTGTGAAGACTGTAAGATAGACCATGCTGTTTGTTGCCGTTTTCCTGCTTTGAAGTTCTGTGCCAACTTCACTGCTTTGTTTAGATTGTATTTAGTCTGTTTTGTTGGGTTCTATTATCTTTAAAATTTTAAGAAAATATGCTATTTGTATTTAGGACGGCACTGAATCTGTGTGATGGTTTTGGAAGTGTGGCTGTTTTGACCATGTTCATTATGCGGAGGAAACGTTTGAAAGACATGAACACAGGTGAGAATCATGTCTGTTTGCAAGAGGAGAGTTTATTGGGAGGTGTAGGGAAGAGCAGAAGAGCCACAACAGCTGAGGGAACCACGATGCACCTCAGAGGCCCCAGCACAGCTCAGCCAAAGCCAGGCAGCTCAAGGGGGGCCAGGCCACAGTGCTAGGTACCTGTCCACCCTGCAGGATGTGACTCATGCTGAGGCTGGACGCAGAGTCGGGAGGTCGAGCAGTTCCCCGGGGTTTTTCTGGCTTCATGCAGTCCTCCTGCTGGCTGTGGCTACCTAGCACCCAAAGGTATTGCAGGGCCCACAGCGGGACCGGGAAATGCAAGGGTTGGCGACACAGGGTCCAATAGGCTTGTCACAGGCGTTGGTGGTCGCACAGGGGTTGCAGGGCAGCCTGGGACACAGGACGGTTAGAGCATCAGATGGGAAGGCTCATTTCACAGACGGAGGGGCTCAAGCCAGAGAGACTCGAGATGTACAGAACCAGGTCTCTGAAGCCCAGTCCAGGGCGGAGGCCTCTAACAAACTCAGAGGTCAGGGCAGAAAACAGGAAGTCCCGGCCTTCATTCTCTAACCCTGGATATATGGGGAGTCACCTGGTCCCTGTAAGCCTCTGCCTTGCACCCATAAAAGGGACTGGTGCTATTCAAAACCCATGGGGAAAAATTCCAAAGAATTGTGCTTACAAAAATAAATACTGCGTTTACCAGAAAGTGGAATATCCTGATAGTTACCAAGTCATTTCCCCGTTTTGATTCTCGAAGGCCTGCCTAAAAGACGCTTACAATTCCCACATTTACCCATTAGCAGCCAATGGGTCACCATAAGGACCACAGTCATCTCCTGTCTATCCTAGGAACAGAAAAGGCCATCAGCCCAGGTAACGCCAGCAATAAACAACCCTACACTTGCCACTGTGGTGTGCAGAGCTCTGCTCTCTGCAGACGCATGACATCTGCGGCCTGACCTGCCCCCTCTCCACCTTGCTCTTGGGTAAAAGTGTGCATGTGCCTCCCGGGGAACCCCAGCGCCCTACTCACTTGCAGTCCTCGCTCTCCAGCAGCCCCCGGTACGTGTCAATCTCACACTCCAGCCGTGCCCGCACATCCAGCAACACCTGGTACTCCTGGTTCTGCCTCTCCAGGTCACTCCGGATCTCTGCCAGCTGCGACTCCACACTGCTGATCAGGTGCTGCACCTGTGCCAGCTGCGAGCTATAGCGGGCCTCGCTCTCGTTCAGCGTGTTCTCCAGGGAGTTCCTCTGTGGGGAAGACAAGAGCATCAGGTGCTGCAGGGACCCCCAAGAAGTCCCAGCTTGGAGACCAGGGGCACGCATGGCCCACAGGTGCCAGGGCCTCCCCAGCCCCCCGAGGCTCCAGCAGGGCTGCCCCACACTCACCAGGTTGTGCTGGGCCTGCAGCTCGATCTCCAGGGCATTGACCGTGCGTCTCAGCTCAATGATCTCTGCCTGGTAGCTCTGCAGCTGCTCCGAGCTTGACACCACCTGCTTGTTCAGCTCCTCGGTCTGCAACAGCCAAAGGGGGGTGGGGGGGACACAGGGTCAGGTGCTGCCTTCAGGACCTGGGGAGCTGTGTGACCAGGGGCTGGGCGGCCCACCTGTGTGGTGTACCACTCCTCCACCTCCCTGCGGTTGGTCTCCACCACGGCCTCGTAGGTGCTCCTGACTTCGTTGAGCACGCGATTGAGGTCCACGGAGGGCGCGGCGTCCACCTCCACATTGAGGCGGTCCCCGAGCTGGCAGCGCAGGGTGTTGACCTCCTGTGGGGGAAGGGGGGTGAATGAGCCTGCAGAACAAAGCCCACACTAAACTCTCTTTACGGAAGTCCAGTGCAGTGGGGACGGGCTGCAGTGAATTAGGAGAGAGGAGCTGAGGTCCAGTGGGCATAAAACCCAGGTCAGGTTTCTCTGGGGACTCCAGCCTCCTCTTTCTTTCCTCATCTATAAATGAAGGCTGCTGATTAAATTATTGCTAATATTCCTTCTGATTCCGTAGTGCTATCATTTCCTCCTGATTTTCCCTTTGCTCCATGATAAACCCAACGGGACAACTGGTTTATAACTGTTGCTGTTAAGTACAGAGAAACCAGGCTGAAATCCTTCTATTTCTTCCTGGTCTCCTACCTTCGTGTCTTATCCTTAGACCCATTTCCTGCTCGGGAAAACATCTAATGCTTGAGACACACACGTGATTTCCTCCTACGGCATTCAGCTGTGATATCTGAACCAGTGGCTATCTGGAGGCCGGCTTTCCTCCATCCATTTATACAGCTTGGAGTCTAACGGTCCCTGATAGAAGATAAGCAAGTTCCCCATCTTGTAATCATGGACATTCACTTGGTGCCTAGTCAAATCATAGACCTTGTCACGCAGTAGGAAATACCTTACCAAACCTTGGACTTCTGGCCACGCATCTGGCCCCAGGGTGGAAACAGATCACCTGACCCGGCTCTTTATGCAAAAGAAGCCACCTTGCGACTCATGTCCTCCACCAGCCCAGCAGCAGGTGTGTCGGCTGTGCGATCCTGAACAAACCAAGCCCTACCTCCTACCTTCTCCCCGGAGAGTCAGGAAATGTTCAGTCAGGTGATGCTGGGCATGTAAATTTCTCACCTGTTCATGGTTCTGCTTGAGACTGATCAGCTCCTCCTTCAGCGACTCCACCTGCGCCTCCAGGTCGGACCTGCACAGGGTCAGCTCATCCAGGATGCGGCGCAGGCCGTTGATGTCCGACTCCACCAGCTGCCGCAGGGACAGCTCGCTCTCGTACCTGGGGGCACAGCCAAAGCAGGGAAGAGGTCAAAGAGGAAGACTGCGGCTGGGCTTTACCTGGCACAGGCACACGCATTAGATTCTAAAACACTCTGAGCTTTTTAAATTTTCTAAAAGACAGAAAAATCATGACACTGAGTTAGGAGGCCTGAGTGCAGACTCTGCCATTCACTGCGCTGGTCCTAGAGTCCACTCCAGAGTGCTGCCACCACCACCGTCTGCAGTGAGTCTCAGGGCTCCGTGACCCGCCCGGTACAGACAATCTCTCCACCTTCGCCTTGAGTAGTGAGAGAAGCCTCAGTTCTTCATCTCTAAATTAAAGACAAAGCTGACCCTGTGTTTTGGTAACTTCTCTGGGATGGGCTGATGGTGACCCGTGTATATGAAGGGACCAGAGTGGAATCCACTTTTCAACTTAGTCCAACATCCAGTTGAAAAGGAGGGACACTGAACGGTTCCTTGTTCTCCCTCCAACAGGGGTCTTAGCGCTCAGTGAATAAACTAACTTAGATCATGGACCTAACACAGTGCCCTCCCAGGATCTTCCAGAAGCTTCTGGAACATTCCCAGCACACTCCATTCCCCATTTTGCAATTTCAGTGTTAGAAAAATCTTACTTGGTCCTGAAGTCGTCGGCAGCCAGCTTGGCGTTGTCGATCTGCACCACCAGCCGGGCGTTCTCGGACTTGTTGCACAGGATCTGGGGACAGAGGAGTGGGGGAGAAGAGTTCTCCTTACAAGAAATGTCTGGGGCCTTTACGTGGGAAGCTAGGCTCTCAGCCAGTCCTTTCCAGCAGATCTGTCAGTGCAGATTTTCTGTTTGTGAATTTTGCGAGGAAGATTCACCCAAAGAACTGGTCATTGCAAACCCAGCCATCAGGGTACAATGCACCCTTCATCCAGAATCAGTGCCATTCAAATCACATGGCCCCTTTGGGCATTTGCTTTGCCAGACTGAGGGAAAGGGAAACTGAGGCTTCCCTCAAGAACCAAGGGCTGGTGCCCCTGGACATAAACTCCTATCCATCCTTCAGCGCCACTCAGTTCCTGGCTCTTTTGGAGAACCCTCTCTGTCCCGCTTTGACATGTGCCCAGAAGGCCACTTTTGCCCCTGAATTTGTGACTCTGCATTGTCCTTGTCAGCCTGCCTGCTGTGGTGGGTTGGATGTGTTCACGTATGTCAGGCAGGGGCCTCCTGCTTCGGCAGACACTATCTTCTACAACAGTTTTTAAAGGCTTAAAATATCTAAGGGTTCACTCAGGAAACCCCTAGAGTACAGAACTAACACAGGAGCACATGGTTTTTTTGATGCTATCCCATAGGTAGTTCTCAGAAAACCAGCTCAGGATATGCAAGAGCTTAAAAATCAAATATCCTGGTTGGGTAAGAAGCAAAGTGAGAGGGTCTAGTTTGGGGCTACTGCCTCACCTGTCCCCCATTTCCTTCCTACAAGGTGACTCCAGAATGGATTCTGCAACACTGGTTGATCTCCTACCTAAGCTAGTGAACCCTACATCTTTAGCCCTCTCGGACTTTGTCACAACAGCCCAAGACCCACCCGGACCTGATATAGGCGTGTTGGGTAGGTCGCTCCTTAAATAGGCAGAGCGGAGCCTCCCTCACCTTCTGCTGCAGCTCCTCGATGGTGCGGAAGTAGGACTGGTAGCTGGGGCACAGCAGCGGCTCCTGCTGCTGGCTGCGCTCCTGGATGCGCCTCTCCAGCTCCGCATTCTCCCGCTCCAGCTCCCGCACCTTCTCCAGGTAGCTGGCCAGGCGGTCATTGAGGAACTGCATGGTCTCCTTCTCGCTGCCATTGAAGGAGCCCTCGCAGAACCAGGTGCAGTTGCCCACGTTGGCGGGGATGTTGCAGGCCCCGGGCAGGGTGCAGCCGTGGCAGCTGGGGGGCACGCAGGGCCTCGAGGAGCAGCTGGAGCGGCAGCTGAAGGCGGGCAGGAAGCAGCTGTAGGGCATGGTGCTGAGGGAGCGGAGCTCTGAGAATCAGCTTCGAAGCCTGACTTGGTGCTCTGGTGGAAGCCCTGGTTCTCTCCCAAGCTTTATATGCTGCCCGTAGTGGGTGTGGTGACCCCATAAAACATGGTCCCTTTGGCCCTCTGTACCAATTTTTCCACTATTAGCCACCTCTCAGGAGTCCTTCACCTTGTAAAGTGTTTTAACTCGGCTTCTTGCTAAGTCAGGGCTCCTCCCCAGCCACAGCGCTGCCTCACACAAGAGCATCGTGGTTGGACTTCAAAGGGCCAGCTTTGCCAACTGCAGCGCTATGCGAGCGTTACAGAGAAGCTACGCCCCGTCCTCTGGAGCTCAGGGCTGCTGTTTGCCTCTGTCTTCTGAAGATGGACAGGCTTGTGCCTCACCCAGCTTCTACTCCGTCAGGACTCTGGGGAAACCAACTAGGAGGTTCCTGTGGAAACTGGATTTTCGAGGAATCTGAGTTCAGACCAGACCAGATGTCCAAAGCCATCTGACTCAGTGTCCCCTCCCCATTTCATCCAGTCTGCTGGCGGTAGCTCCATCTTCCTTCTGGGGCTGGGGGCAGCACCCACACCCCATTTCTACTGAGCCCTCTAAGAAAATTGAGGTCACTAATGCTGGGGGGTCACCTTCCACGTGTGAAGCACTGTGCCTTATGCCCAACACTGTGGGTCCATAGCTGGCAGCAGCTCCTGTGTGCTGGGCCCTGTCTGAGCCCCAGGCCCTGGGACAGGCTTCCCAAGTGTGCTGTGACCTTCAGTCCCTGGGAAACCCTGCAAGAGTGAGGATGAGGAGGCCTCACTTCTGAGATGTTACCGGAGATCACAGGGCCCCTGCCTCATGGGCCCGAGCTCCCTCCACAGGTTTCCCGGACTCCCCTGGCCACGCTGTCTCCACCACCTTGCACCCATCTCTCCCTTCCGATCCCTGCACTGAGGTGTAACAGTGCAGGTGTAGACGGAGCCCAGCGGAGCCCGGACACCCTGGGACAGTCACCCCTCCTAAATTAGAGGAGCCAGGAAGCACCCTGCTCTGCTCTATTAAGGAACCAAAAGCCATTTCTCCACTGTAAGAAGTTCCCTAAATGAGGCTGTGTTCTGCCCACAGGAAGCTTAAAGAAAGACCCAGAACCTGGTTAATCTGAATGGCACTGCCTGAGCATGTGATCCTGCAAAGCCCCCACCGTTCACTGTCCTGGGGGCTTTGGGGACATTTTGACAAACACACACCCTGCCCTGGCGCTATTACAGGTGGAGCAAGGAGCTGGCAGGATTTCATGTCAAACCTACCAGGGTTCCAATGATGAAAGACATCTCTTCAAGTTGTCCCTTCTTTCTCTCCCCAACCTCCCCCCCTCCCCATTTGCCCTCCTTTTGCCAAGATGGGCGATAAATGCTTGGAACCAGAAGGAAGACTTCAGCATTGCCGTGGGGGCGGGGGGAGCACCAAAAACCAAGCGGATCTGCCCGTTTCCAGTCCTGCTTTTATTTCCAAAAGCCAGTGAACCCGATGGTGGAGCCTATGCCCCGCTAGAGGGGGTGACTCAGGACACCTCACCCTCACAGAAACCTTTGGGTCTCACCCCAGAAGACCCCGAATTCTTTATGCATTTACACCTCCCTCTCCTCCTCCCCACCCTGTAGCTGTCTTCCTGTTATTACCACCCCTTCCTGATCCGTGTCTGTCATATAACTGACATACCATCTGCCTGGAAAGACTTTATGGGGATTCTTGGGAACATTGTAGCTGTTTCTGTGTTTTTTCTTACTTTGTAGTCTGGTTGTGAATTAGGAGAGGGGAAAAAAGTAATTATGATACATTGTATTTTGTGTATGATATATGTGGATAATATTTTATTCAAGAGACATATTTTTTCTGCAAAAATAGAAACAAAAAAGCTGTCCCTTTTGAAAGTGTCATGCTAATTCCTGCTCAGTAGTCACCCCCAGGTCACCTGTTCCTCAGGCCTGCCCTTGCAGCCTGGGACACATTCTTCTGGTTACCCTCATGCAAGACAAATCTGTATTTTTACCCATGGGTTTATTTTTGGAACCAGCCAGATGTGATTTGGACCCAAGCCCAGTTAGTGAGGTAAGCAACCAAGCAGAGTAGCATCTTTAATGAATCAGAAACAAGTCACCACTGTAAGATACTAACATGCATTTTCTTGGATGATTCAAAAAGTCATTTCCAAGGAGGAGTTTTCGGTGTGCTTTTAGAAAAGACCAGAGCTTAGGTGTGGTCTTCCAGAGTGAAGCCCTCCAGAGCACCGACACCCTCTCCCTCGTTGAAATCTGCAACTCTACCTCTCCTGCCCAATTTCCTGCCTCTTAAGATGACCCCAGCATCACTGAGCTTTGGAGTCAATGTGTTGGCTTCAAATCAGCACCAAGCTGATTGACCCCTGTTGAATCAGATCACATACCATGAATAGATGCATTCATTCATTTTTCTCTAATTACTTCCTAATCGTCTTCCCTTGTTCTATGTTCCAGGTAATGGCTGTTTTATAAGGACCAGAGAGGTAATGATATGTTACAGCCTAGAGAATATATAAACTCCATATAAACTCGCTGTAGCCTCTGCCTCGGTCAGAGGAGAATAATTCACAGTTAAGTGTCCCTGTGGAAGGCAGAGCTTAGAAAACACAACTATTTGCACACCCTGAGCAGAAGTGCACCACCAGGATTGCTTCATAGCTACCTGAACACCAAACAGGGATGGCCAAGAAGACTTCCAGTCTGTTGAGGAAAGAAACAGGTTCCAGTTTGCTTCTGAGGAATTCCTGGAAGCAATTAATTTTTATTTATTCCAGCATCCCACGAATTCTTGCCTTTACATAAGCAGGGACACTGTTTCTGGCCAATGACACCTCCATAAGCAAATCAAAACCCAGCCAGCAGAAAGGTTTTACAGCTGCCTGTAACCTCGGCTGACGCTGGGGTTGGGGTTTGTGGTCTCCAGATGTGAGTGGCTCGGTGCATCTGTGGCCTGAGGGTCCTGTTTACAATGGAAGCCAAGGCTGTCGCTATGGGATTGGTCACACCCAACCTCACCCATGGGACATGACCTGGGGGTGGGGTCAGGGCAGGTTTTCTGCTGAAGCCATCCTCCCTTTGACAGGCACGGCCTCCTCCTTCCCCAAACAGCTTGCATCCCAGGTGCGAGTGGCTGGGAATCCTTGCTGGAGGAAATGTCACATCTGTCCTTACTGTGCTACTCACGGGTTAATTATGTTACTGTGCATAAATGGCAAGGGGAAGAGGAGAGAGGCATCAGGTTTGTCTCTGTGCAACAGGGTTTCTGGTAAGGAACCTGCAGAAGGGCTACAGATTGAGCCAGGCCGGTGGGAAGAGGTAGTCACGAGCTTTCTATGCTTCTAACGAAATACCTGAGGCCATCAGCTTATGAGCATAAAAGGTTTATTGGAACTGACAGTTTTGGTGGCAACTGAGCCCTTGGCCCTATTGTTTGGGCTACAACAAGGCAGCACTGTGGCAGGGAAACGCGGCTCAGTCCCCAAGCAAAAGAGAAGACAAGGAAGGGGCTTGGATCTCATGAGCCCCACAGGCCACGCCCCCAATGACCTAACTTGTCGGTGTCACTCCCGGCCGGCAGGAAGGACACACAACAAAGTCTGGCAGTGGACAACCTTTTCTTTTATTTTCCTTCTCCGTACAGCCTGCCCCGGGAATCCTCCCGGCCGAAGCCTCTGTTGGTCCGCTCCCCGCGGCTCCTTGCGTGCTTCTCCCTACAGTCTGTCCCGAAGCCTCTACCGGTCCGCTCTCCGCGGCTCCTTGCGTGCTTCTCCCTACAGTCTGTCCCGAAGCCTCTACCGGTCCGCTCTCCGCGGCTCCTTGCGTGCTTCTTCTGCTTCTTCTTTCGTGGCGGGAGAGGCACTCACTTTTATAGGGTTACAGTGGCCAATCAGTTCAAAGCGCGCGATGCGGGCTGATTGGCTAACATCAGTTGTTGCTAGGCAGACTATCTTACAGGGCGGGTTGTGAAGCAGGAGATCTTACAGGGCGGGTTGTTTACCAAGCAGGAAGCAGGAGATCTTACAGGGCGGGTTGTTTACCAAGCAGGAAGCAGGAGATAAGCGCCATCTTAGCACACTCGATGGGAGGGGTAATCTAGCTCAGGCTTTGCTCTTTCCTACAGGCCTCACGTCCGCCAAGTAAGGTGACCGGGCTCGGCCGCGGCTCCCAACACTAACTGCCTCCCACAATGCCAAGCCTCTTAATGATTCTGTTCCCTTTCCAGTAACACCACTGGCTTTGGGGACAATTAACCAAAGCACAGTGGGCTTCAGGGCTACTGCACAAGGCCCCTCCAGAACTGCCACGCTTGGTCCAGAACTTCCAATGGAAATAGGATTTGGGGGAGCTTCAGAGACCAAGGCAAGTCAGAAACACACACAGTCCAATCATGCCAGGCTTTGAAACTCCTCTTAGTCTACAACAAGAGCAAAGAACATGAAGTTTCGGGACAGTGCAGGTTACTGGTGCTAGGCTGCCAGGAAAAGCCGGACTCAGGGGCTTCCCAGGGGAAGAATGAAGCCTATTGTCTGTGGATGGCTCTGCGGATCAAAGGAAAGAACAGATGCTGAAATACCAGTGGTGCAGAGAGGAGATAGCAGGCTCCCTGCCTGGTCTGAATGTATTGTGATGCACTATTGATTCAGCTCCCTCCTGAGCTGGTAACTGAGGGAGATCAAGCCTGCTTCCCAAGCCCCGCAAACACGGCCCTCAGCAGCCCCCAGCTACCACCCTGCTTCTATCCTCAGGGAATCTGTCTGATTCTCATTTTCCATGACGTGAATACTCTTGACCCTTGCACTTCCTTTGGCTCCTGTGTCACTTTGGCTGCTTCTTTATTTCCCTCTCCAATTGCTATCTATACCCAGGTGTCACCCATGTCCTCAGGGCAAAACCAGAGATGAAGGTGGTGTCTAGGACTCTGGCCCCAGGTCATCTCAGTCATTTCTGTCCACCACCACCAGAGTTCTTCTGACTGCTACCATCTTCCCTTTGACAGTCCTAACTCCTACAGCCCAAATACCCACGTTATTCAGGAAACTCTCAACATCTACAGACCCAGCCAAGTTCTCTCAAAGGAGATCCACTATTGACTCATTCCCTGAGGCTCAAAACCTTCAGACCACAGTAGGTGTCTGTGGTAGTTAAATTTCATGTGCCAGCCACACTGGGATAGGGGTGCCCAGATTGCTGGTAAAACATTATTGCATTTCTAGGGGAGATTACGTTTGAGGGTCACCCTCATCCAGGTGGGTGGGCATATCAAATCAATCAAAGGCCCAAGTAGAAGAAAAAAGCATAAGAAAGTTGAATTCTTCTCTCCTCTCAAGCTGAGCTGGCTATTCATCTGCTCCCTGTCTTCAGATTTTGGTGTTTTAAAGCTCTGAGACTTATTCCATTGACTCCTTTGGCTGTTAGGACTTTAGTGAGGGATGAAACTACACTGCCAACTTTCCTGAACCTCCCTTGCAGGTAGCAGACTGTGAGGTTTCTCAGACTCCACAATTGCAAGAGTCAATGCTGCATAATCAACTTTCTTCTCTCTCTATTGCAGATGGATGGGTGGGTGGGTGGATGGATGGATGGATGGTTGGATGGGTGGGTGGGTGGATGGACAGATGGACTGATGGGTGGATGGCTGGATGGGTGGGTGGGTGGATGGGAGGGTGGATGGGTGGATGAGTATGGATGGATGGATGGATGGATGGGAGGGTGGATGGGTGGTAGATGGGTGGGTGGGTGGGTGGATGGATAGATGGATGGATGGGTGGATGGATGGATGGATGGATGGGAGGGTGGATGGTGGATGGGTGGATGGATGGATGGGTGGATGGGTAGATGGATGGATGGATGGATGGATGGATAGATGGGTGGATGGGTGGATGGATGGATGGGAGGGTGGATGAGTGGATGGATGGATGATAGGGGGATGGGTGAATAGATGGATGGATGGATAGATGGATGGGAGGGTGGATGGGTGGATGGATGGATGGATGGATGATGGGAGGGTGGATGGGTGAATGGATGGATGGATAGATGGACGGATGGGTGAGTGGGTGGATGGATGGATGGGTGGATGGGTGGACGGATGGATGGATGGATGGATGGATGGATGGATGGATGGATGGATGGGAGGGTGGATGGATGGGTGGATGGGTGGATGGATCAATGGATGGATGGATGGATGATGGGAGGGTGGATGGGTGAATGGATGGATGGATGGATGGACAGATGGGTGGGTGGGTGGATGGATGGATGGGTGGATGGGTGGATGGGTGGGTGGATGGATGGATGGATAGATGATGGGAGGGTGGATGGGTGAATGGATGGATGGATGGATGGATGGATGGATGGACAGATGGGTGAGTGGGTGGATGGATGGATGGGTGGATGGGTGGATGGGTGGATGGATGGATGGGTGGGTGGGTGGGTGGACAGATGGATGGAAGGATGTGTGAGTGGGTGGACGGATGGATGGGAGGGTAGATGGATGGATGGGAAGGTGGATGGATGGGAGGGTGGATGGGTGCATTGATGGATGGATGGATGGGAGGGTGGATGGGTGCATTGATGGATGGATGGATGGGTGAGTAGGTGGATGGATGGATGGATGGATGGATGGATGGGTAGATGGGTAGATGGATGGATGCATGGACAGATGGATGGGTGAGTGGATGTGTGGATGGGTGGGTGAATGGATGGGAGGGTGGATGTGTGGATGGATGTGTGGATCGATGGGTGGGTGAGTGGATGGATGGGTGATGAGAGATAGACATATAGGTACTTACTGAGTCTACTTCCAGGGAACGATGACTACTACAGTTTCAATCACTTCCTGTCATCCTCTTTTGTTCTCTGTTGTTTGTCTACTTCCGATCAGCTTTCATACCCTAGGAAACACTCTCAAACCCTTCCATTCTCTCTTCCACCCACTGCAGTCCTTGCTGTCTCTCACCAGCCTTCTAAATGATGTTTATTTTATTCTAACAACCTTTGGGACCCATCACAACCCAGCCTACACAAACCACCATGGCGACCATCCTCCAGAGACTGTCTTAAGGGTATCATCAGATGTGGCCTGGCGTAACTCCTTACTGTTCCATCTTCTATTACCATACTTATCCCAAAGTAGAAACTGGACAGCCTGATTCTAGGTATAGCTTTTGATTCCTCCTCTCTTTATGGACAAAATTTAAGCTTGGAATAAAATTCCCTCTTCTTAGACTACACACACATTCCACCAGGATCTCTTTCATAATTATGCTAATATCATATGATAAGAGTTGTTTGAAGTTGAAACCTTGGGAAGCATGTAAACTTTTAAACATGAACACTTATTAATGTTACTCATACTGTTCCTTGTATAGTCTACATAAATATTCTATGGTTTACACTATTTGATTATGTCAATATAGGGGAACAAAACTCCCAACCTACTAGACATCCAGTAGGAGTCTGTGTTCTCTAAAATCAAAGAATGAATTTTAGGAACAATGGAGGTTAAAAGCAGAATGTATTTATTGAGGGAAAGAAAGCTTCTGTCTGAGAAAGAGACAGAAGGGGTCCTGAGTGGGTTGCCAAGGACTCTGCCTTTCCTAGGGACTTTTATAGAGCAAACTACAATGTGAGATGGGTCCATGATGGGGAAAAACTAGGAACTCATAAGGTGAGCGTGAGATGGGACAGAAGTATGGCCAACCAACAAGATTAATTGCTCAGGTGAAACTGATTAAATTGGGGCCAAATGAAGAAGCAAGTCACATAGAAAGCAGGCGTTTTTAGAGAGCAGTGACTCTTCCTGTAGGGGGTTAGGATGGCGACTCCTGGCTTCCTCAGGGTGATAGAGACCTATTTAGAATATCAGTCCCTAATGCTTATCCTTAAGAAGTGTGTGGGTGCTTTTGATTTATCTTCTGTCTTAAGATCTGGCCCACAGCGGGAGGTGTCTGTCTCCCCCACAGTTGCCAGGTATCTGGGCTTCTGCACTGGCTCCTTTGAGGGCCCAGCGCTGTCCACTGCCTAGAATATTTCTAACTCAGCTGCCTGTGACAATGTGATCCTGCCAAGTGGCCTACAGACAAGGCAGACACATTTTATGTGAACCGAACACTCAGATCTTCAAAGCCTGGACTTCCCATGGGAATGGAAGACAGATAATTGTACTTGTCCCGTGGGCCAGAGTTCAAGGAAATGCATAACGGAGATTGAGCCCTGTATCTGAGAGCTTTAAAAATCAAAGACAAAGCAAGCGAGGTGCAGGAGGATTGGCGTTTCCTGGAGGTGACTTAGGGAACTTGGGGCCTTTTTTGGGATTGCAAAAACTGAGGTGAGGAAACAGATTTCAGAGTACCATAGACACAAGCAAGGATCAAAAGCAAGGGCTAAGCTTGCAGAGAGCAGGAGGAGGAAGAGACAGTTGGCTGCATCGGAAGGGTATTTTGACAGAGTCTTTGCCCAATTAAACAAGAAGGGACAGACTGGCCCTCAGTGGCACCAACCGAGAGGCAGCCGGAGCCCTGCAAGTTGAGCCAAGTGTGAGGTTTGAGAGCCATCGGCACAGAGATTTCCATTCTCCAAGAGAATTGGGAATGTGGGAGGAGGATAACAGAGACTGAGGATCTAAGCGTTTCCTTGTTGGGGACAGAAAAGGGGAACCCCGTGGACCAAAAGAAAGGGCACAAGTAATCAGAGATGCAAGAAGAAGACCTAGGCGTGCAGATTTGTGGAAACCATTGAAGGTGACCTGGGGGCATCTGTTTGGAGGAGCAGCTGCCCAGAGAGGGGAGAGGAGAGCATTGCTGTTCTCTGTGGGGTCTCCACAAAAGCACACCCTTTGGGGATTCAGGAGAAAGAGAAGAAAATTCCAGTCCCATGGGGGAGGCAGGCAGGCACTGAAGGCCGGGCCTCCTGCTTGGTGTCCCTTGGGTGACAGTGCCCAGTGGGACAGCCACCCTTCTGTTAGGCTTTCTGTGGAGCTGCGGTGACTCACTGCACCCCTTTCATCTCCCCTTGAAGGACAGGCTGTTTCCTGCGAAGCCCCCACCCCGGCGAGGACCTTGCAGCGTGTGACTGAGTGAGAAACTGGTGTCCTATGCCAGAGAGAGGAAGTTTATTGGGAAGTACATGAGATCACCTGCTCGCATTCAAGAGACTACCAAAGAGGAAAGGAAAGCAGGAAATTGCAGTGCCCACAGAAATGTCCCCAGGTCACCCCTGGGGCTCAGACTGCAGGGAGCTAAACACCCTCCAGAAAGAAGAGGGGCAACACCAGAGCCCAAGGAGTTCTCTGGACACCGGAAGCTGTGTGTGTCTTTACTGGTCGGGTCTGGAAGGCACGTCAGGGTCTAGAAGCATCGCTGGCTTTAACGTCGACTGAACCCTGGCTGCGGGAGGTCCTGGGGATCCTTCCTGGGCTTCAGGGACATCTTCCAGGAGGATGCAGCTGTTCACTTAGTGCTTCTGACAGCCGCCACAGGCATTGGTGGTGGCACAAGGGTTGCAGGGGAGCCTGGAGGGACAGGGAGGTGGAGAATGGACTGAGGAGTACAGGGCAAAGAAGCTGAAGGTGCCCGTGATGCCTAGTACTCCTCAGGGCTTGGAGTTGGATGGAAGGAAACTGTGATTAGCAAATCCTTCTCCCTCTCCCAGAATGCTTTGTGCAGAAACAGAAAGTAGTTGGTTGGGGGAAGGGAGTGTTTTGTTTTATTTTTAATATCATCTCATACTCCTAAGCTGTGTGGAATCAAACATGAGCTGCCTGCCCAATGAATACCACTGCCCGTCCATCCCTATTCTACATCTCCATGGAGAGCCTGGGCAGTGACCTTCACCTTGGCCAGGTCCACATCTGCTCAACTGATACAACACTGAGCACATAGTAGTCACTCAGTTAACATGCATGCTCTGGACACTTGAAAATGAAGCCACCATGCCTGCACCCCTAGAGCTTTACGTTCCCCCGACCCCCTGGTCCTAGGATCTGCTGTCCATACTCACTTGCAGTCCTCGCTTTCCAGCAGCCCCCGGTACGTGTTGATCTCACACTCCAGCCGCGACCGCACGTCCAGCAACACCTGGTACTCCTGGTTCTGCCGCTCCAGGTCACCCCGGATCTCCGCCAGCTGTGACTCCACACTGCTGATCAGTTGCTGCACCTGCGCCAGCTGTGAGCTGTAGCGGGCCTCGCTCTCGGTCAGCGTGTTCTCCAGGGAGTTCCTCTGTAGGGGAGAGAAGGGTTTCAGGTGCTGCAGGCCCCCCCCCCAGAAGTCCCAGCTTGGAGACTCAAGGCCCAGCGGACACCAGGACCTCCCCAGCACCGCCCCGCCCCCAGGCTCCAGCAGGGCTGCCCCACACTCACCAGGTTGTGCTGGGCCTGCAGCTCGATCTCCAGGGCATTGACCGTGCGTCTCAGCTCAATGATCTCCGCCTGGTAGCTCTGCAGCTGCTCCGAGCTTGACACCACCTGCTTGTTCAGCTCCTCAGTCTGCAACAGCCAAGGGTGGGCGGGGGGAACACAGGGTCAGGTCCTGCCTTCGGGGCCCTGGGGAGCCAGGGAGCTGCATGGCCAGGGGCTGGGTGGCCCACCTGTGTGGTGTACCACTCCTCCACCTCCCTGCGGTTGGTCTCCACCACGGCCTCGTAGGTGCTCCTGACTTCATTGAGCACGCGGTTGAGGTCCACAGAGGGCGCGGCGTCCACCTCCACGTTGAGGCGGTCCCCGAGCTGGCAGCGCAGGGTGTTGACCTCCTGTGGGGGAAGGGAATGAGCTTGCAGAAATGGATCTGTCTCCCTGCCACAAAGAGGTGAGGACTAAGCTTGAGGCAAAAGTACTACCGGCAATGTCCTGATCACCGGGATAATAGACACAGACCTGGTGTACGAATAAAATGAACGCCATGCGAAGCACATGGTGCCCAGCTGCATCACTGTGCCTGCCCAGCCTCCCTCGTTCAGCTCTGGGAATCCGAATCCTTCTCCTCCTGGCGTCTGAGCAGGGCTCCCACCTGCTCCCTGACCAGCTGGCTCCTTCTTCTCCTCACACACGCCTCCTGGGTGCTTCTCTCTCTCCACCTGTGCCACACCTCCATAGCTCCATGGTTCCCCCCACACTACACCAGAGGCTCTTGGGAAGCCAAAGCCCTGCTTCTCTTTTTCTCCACCTGCACCCCAAATCCAGGACCTAACAGTGTCTGGCAGAGAGTAGGGCTGGGTCAGGAGACCTCCTTCCTGTGCATGTGCAGCTCCAGCCCCCTTCATCCCTGTCCTGGATGTGGGCAGGATATTGTCCTCCTAGGAGCTACTGAGTTCTGCAGAGAAGGGCCCCGTGCCAGGGAGTCTGACACTTCCACCTCCCGATTCCCACACTGAAGGCTTGGCTTTGAAGCCCTTCCCCTTTGTTTTCCATCTCACCTCCTCATGGTTCTTCTTGAGGCACAGCAGCTCCTCCCTCAGCGACTCCACCTGTGCCTCCAGGTCGGACTTGCACAGGGTCAGCTCATCCAGGATGCGGCGCAGGCTGTTGATGTCCGACTCTACCAGCTGCCGCAGGGACAGCTCAGTATCATACCTGTGCACAGATCCCAGCGGGAAGGTGAGCCGGGAGCAAACCCCCGCTTCCTTGGATTCGAAGGGCCCAGCTCTATGTAACACACACAGTGCTCAGGCTCCCTCTCCCACAGGCTCCCTGATGCCGCTCCCTGGTGCAGGTTCCGTCCAGCCACCCCAACTCAGAAGGCACCTGCAAGGACCCAGAGGATGGAGATCCTCCCTCCCTCTCCTGGGAACCCCACATCCATCCATTCCTAAAGAGGAATCCGCTTCCACCTCTGAATTGTGGGTTGAAGAAACCCTTCTAGGAGGATTACTACTAGAGTGTTCCGAATCAGAAAGCGGAAAATCTGAAACGCTCAGCAACCCAAAACTCTGTGCCCACAGAACATGCCGCTACTGTGGAAATCCAGGGCCCTAGAAATGGTGCACAAAATTACATCTGGGCCATGGGCAGGAGGTGGAAATGACACATGAATGAATTCTGTGTTTCAATGGAGTCCCCTCTCCAGGGTGCTTCCTTACATCTATGCAAACCTTAGAAAAATTCAAAACCCCTGATGTCTAAAACACTGCAGATAAAGGATCAATTCCCCACTGTGTCCACTAAAGGACAGGCTGCCCATGAGTCTGCGTCCCTGCTTAAAACTGCCTTTGTAGAACCAGAAGACTTGGAGGAGAAATTAAAAGGGGGGAATGTTTTTCTCCTGCCTGCCAGGCAATGTCAGGCTCGGGGCACCGTGAAAGAGCCATGGATAAGTTAGGAACCCTCCAGCCCACAAAGGTTCCACATACTTGGTTCTGAAGTCATCAGCAGCCAGCTTGGCATTGTCAATCTGCACCACCAGCCGGGCGTTCTCTGACTTGGCACACAGAATCTGGAAAAGTGATCACAGCGTGAGGTCCAGTGGAACTCCAGAAAGTTGTGTCGTTCAAAGGCAGACAGCTGCTACCGGGCCCCCATGCAAGTGCCCCTTACCTTCTGCTGCAGCTCCTCGATGGTGCGGAAGTAGGACTGGTAGCTGGGGCACAGCAGCGGCTCCTGCTGCTGGCTGCGCTCCTGGATGCGCCTCTCCAGCTCCGCATTCTCCCGCTCCAGCTCCCGCACCTTCTCCAGGTAGCTGGCCAGGCGGTCATTGAGGAACTGCATGGTCTCCTTCTCGCTGCCATTGAAGGAGCCCTCGCAGAACCAGGTGCAGTTGCCCACGTTGGCGGGGATGTTGCAGGCCCCGGGCAGGGTGCAGCCGTGGCAGCTGGGGGGCACGCAGGGCCTCGAGGAGCAGCTGGTGCGGCAGCTGAGGGCGGGCAGACTGCAGCTGTAGGGCATGGTGCTGGGCAGGGTAGTGGCAGAGCAGAAAGCTGCTAGAGGTAGACAAGGGTGAGGTTTGAGTCTCTCCTGCCTCCGTAGTCCTTTTATACCCTTAACAGTGGGTGGGGGCTTGACAAATAGCATCATTTCCTCTCCTAACACTTCAGCTAATTTTTCCTCAAAATATGCCAGTTAGATGCTTCTAAAGAGTCCCCTCACCTCATAAAATTATTCCATGTGGCTTGTGTCACACTAGGCTCTTCCTGAGTGCTGGCGTTGATGAAATCAGAGTCATCAGATGGCTTCAAAGCAAGCAGAATCGTCACCACCCAGAGGCTCACCCCATTACTCAGAGAAGAGGACTGCTGGGGACTCGGGGTGGGGTCATGTGGGGATCAGAGATTCTTCTCCCATGACATTCCACCACCACGCTCCCCGGAAAGACAGCCCTGGGTGGACATTGCCCCTCTCCTCCCAGAGCTACCCACCATGCCTCTGCGTTCAGTGCACCTTATCCTCTGGACAGAAATTCACCTGTGTTCCATGCAGGATCCCTGAGCCTCACTGTTGGTTGGGGCTTGGAAAATTCACCAATGTGTGCAGAAGTTGAGAATTGCATGTTTATGGGTGGGAAATGAAGAGGGAGAATGAAAAACAACTGGCTGGGTGAGAAGAGGAGAAAGGAAGGATTGGCAGAGGGCAGCCTGCAAGCTGTCCCTGGAGGGGCCCTACCCGGGTGCCATTGGAGAGTGGTGCACCCCATAAGCAATGGAGTTGGGGCTCAAGGGAAACCTACTTACAGCCTAAGGCCAAGTTTGCCGGCCACATGTGTTTGATGGAGACGGTCTGCGTGGCCCCCGCCAGGCCCCTCCAACTAAACATCCTCTGAGGCCGCTCTTTGCTACAGTGGTGAGCTGAGTAGGTTTTCACAGAGATGGCGGGGCCAGGAAAGCCTGAAATAGTTACTATCTACAGAGAAAAAGGTACCCATGTGCACAGAAATGTCCGTCTCTCTAAAAAAGAGAAAGGGAAGAAATATCTAGAAGAAACACACTCCTCCAAAGTTGGGTGTTTGAGGGAGCAGTGTGGAAGGTTACCAGTGAATCTTAATATTTCAGCCTCACCAGGAAAGGAGCACCAAAATGAGGTGTTCAGAGCTACCTGGGGTGACCTTACCCCAAAAGTCTCCAGAAATGTCTCTCGCCCTTGCAGGTCTGACTGTGCTGCCTGAGACATTCCCCGCGCACAGGGCTGTGGGGACTGCAGCTGGACTCTCTGTCCCTTAGGAAGGGACTCTGTCTGCCTTCTTCACTTCTGGGATCCGTGGTCCTTTGACTCTCCTATACCCAAAGAACCTCCTCGTTCCCCCTAAAGAATCTTTTTCACCTTCTTTTCCCTGTCACTCTATCTTTGTTTCATAGAAAAACAAATTCACGGGTCAGAAAGACCCCAAAGAATACATACGTGCACCAAGAAAAGTCCTTTAAGAAAGGCCTTGTCCAGATTTCAGAGGCTGTGTTTAAGAACAGAAAAGCATTCTTTGGTTTTTTACTTAGTTTTAAGACTCCTCTTTTTTTGCTCCGTCTAACTAAAGATCTATGAAGGTTGCCTGTCTTTTCAAAGCACCGCTTTTGGTGTCTGTGTTAGTCGGTGTTGTGTTACCATACCAAAATACCCAAGATAATCGATTTCTAAAGAGAAAAGGCTTATTGGGGCTCAGAATGGTAGAGTTTCTACCTCCTGGTCAATTGTCATCCAGATCCTGCAGTGAGGTCCACAAAGCCAAGTGTGCATATGCAAAGCAACACTGCTTACATCATGGGTCAGGAAGAAAAGCAAGGAAAAGAGGCCAGAGTTCCGCGATCCCCGCCAAGAGGACACCCCCAGTCACCTGAAGACCTCACTTAGCACCACCCTCAGACATTCTGGTGCTTCCCAAGAGCATCACCCTGGGGACCCAGCCTGCAACATGTAGGCCTTCAAAACCAGAGCGAAGTTTTCACACATTGGTTTATTGCTTTTCTATGACTTGTATTTATTTCTGCTCTAACCTTTCCTCTTTTCTTTCTTCTGCTCTCTTTCCAGTTCCAGGAGGTGCAGATCATTTGAGATCTTTGTTTTTCCTAACCCAAGTGGTTATGGCTACACATCTGCCTCTCAGTTCTGCGCTAGCTGCATCCCAGGAGTGTTGATGAGTCGTATGTTCATCTTCTTCATCTTGACATGTTTACCCCTTCTCTTCTGATATTTCTTTGACCCACTGATGATTGGAGCTTGTGCTGTCTCATTTGCATGTGTCTGTCAATTTCCCAGCTTTTCTTCTGCTCTTAATTTCTAGTTTCATTCTTCTGTGACTGAGATTACACTTGAAGTGATTTCAAATGTCTTAAATTTCTTAGCACTTATTCTGTAACCTAACCCATGATCTTGGCTAGAAAATGCCCTAGAAAAAACTGAGAAATGTATTCTACTCCAAGTAGGCAGACTGTTCTATAAATGTGTCTCCTAATTCCATTTGTTCTACAGTGTTGAGAACCACTGGGTCCTTACTGGATTTTCTATCTGAATGTTCTATCCAATATTGAAGGTGATTTAAGTCCCTTAATATTATTGTACTTTTGCCAGGTGTGGTAGCTTATGCCTATAATTCTAGCACTCAAGAGGCTGAGGCAGGAGGATTGTTGCAAGTTCAAGACCAGCCTGGACTACAAAGTGAACTCAAGGCCAGGCTGAACCACATAGAGACCCTGTCTCAAAAAGAATAAAAATATATTATTGTACTTTTGTCTATTTCTTCCTATTCTGTCATGTTTTCTTTATATTTTAGTTCTCTAATATTGGATACACATATACTTATAATTGTTACCCTTCCTGGTAAATTTTCTATCACTTACAATGTTGTCTCTTGTAACAATTCTTTTACTTAACCTCTCCTATCTGATGTAAATATATTCCCATTTGTGTGGATAGCCCTTTTCTTCCCCATCACTTTCAGTCTGCATCTGTCCACCCCTCAGACAGCCCCCAGAAGAGATGGACCACCGGACCCAAGGTCTGAGCCTTCCTCTCCTTAGGGGGATGTTGTGATCGGGGATTTTCACCCAGTCTTTTTTTCCTCATCTTTTAAGTGAAGGCAATAATAATACTGCCTAACTTGTCCTTTGTTTGTGAAGTTTAACTAAGAGACTGTTTGTGAACATGACGGGGGTGCTGGTTGTTTCTGGAAACTTCATCTTTCCTATTTTTGACTAAGAGAGTTCAAATGAAGAGTCTGAAGAAAACTCTACTTCATGGAGCGGAGACCTGGGCTCAGTGGTGCTCTAATGTCACTTACCTCTTCAGTATTACAAGCGCAGAACTCTACTTAAGGATTAATCAACAAAATGCAAATTTCAGCATTAACTCACTGGCTGGAATGGGAAGTCTGCAGCTGAACACCATCCCTGTCCTCTCTGCTACGTTCCTGATCCTATGGGTTTGGTTTTCTTGTCTTGGTTCTTAAAAAGAGCGAACTCCCTTGATGAGTGGCGTTATCACCACAGCCAGCATCCCAGCCCTGGCGTTGCCATGGGCTCTACTCACCCCATGGAGTTGTCTCTGATTTTGCTAGAGGTGGGAAATCTTGGGTCAGTGCTGTCACTGCCGTCTGTTTCTATTTCTCCTTCTGACCCCCTCTAGGGCTCTCTCCTCTGTCCCTTCTACACTCCACGCTCCATCAGTCCTCCAAGGATCTCACTGCCCCAATCTTTGGACACCCAGGTGCTCCCTGGACTTCCCACCACAGAGACCAAATTTCCCCTATTCACTTCTTTCCACAGGAGAGCAGCCATCCCTTGGTGTCATCAATAGAGGCCTCTGGGTTAGACCTCAGCTCGCCTTTTCCAAGCATCCACACAGATGGAAAGGTGCACTCACATGGTCGCAAGTGGCCTGCAGCCTGGGAGACCGCCCACCTGTGGAACCCTGGCCATTCAACCCTGAAAACGTTTCCTAGAAGCAAAGAATGCCAATGCTGGAGGGACCCAGATTTATGGAGGAGAAAACTGAGGCCCAGACAGTGAGGCAGGAAGGAGATAAGGATGGACAGGTCGCCTTCTATAGGTCAGACTGCCTATCCTCAGGTAGGCAGTCCTAGGCCCATACCACTCATCTGACAGACACGAGGGGTGTTCAGACTCTATTATTGTCACTGCATAGCTGAAATAATGAACCTGAGGCTGGGAGGAAACTTCCCTTGTCCAAAATGGCCTGAGTGAGGAGCCTCGATCACCTGGCCCAGCCTTCATACGGTGAGTTAGGGTGACGGGACCTGAGCCAGGCCAGGTGTGACAAACCACAGAACTGGGGTGGGGGAGGCAGAAGAGAGGTCACCCACCGAGAAGACGCACAGTACTTTACCCAGGGACCAGGAGGCTAAACGTGACAAAGCCACTAGGAATCCTGGGAGTCCTGGGATGGGCTTTAAGTAGGAAACCAGCAGGTGCCCCTCAGCAGCCCTCCCGAGGCTGCTGGCTGCAGCTGCAGGTCCCAGAGATCACAGATGATGGCTTTACCCCCAGATATAAGAACAGACAAGCACCAGGTACAGTGGTGCATGTCTGTAATCACAACACTCGAGAGGATGAGGCAGGAGGATCCTCTGAGTTCAAGGCTAGCCTGAGTTACATAGCGAAACACTGTCTCAAACCAGAAAAAAAATGAAAAAGGACCCTTATTCTATTCTATAGCAAATACCAGATTCATTAGGAAACAGAAAGTAAAAGACTCAGAAAAAAGAAATATTCAGGAAGCGAGCTGGGGGTCAGGGCAAATGTCCAAGTGTGATGTGCACAAGGCATAAGGATCCAGACCAGGTAGCTCAGGAACCAGTAAAACAGGTCACCAAACAGCATCAGGGATGCTGCACAACTGGGAGACCAGGGGCTTAATCAGAAGTTAAATCGGGGGCCAAAGACCGTCAAACACTGATGAGGAGAAGAGGCACTTTGCTGCAGGGCTGAGCTCAAAGAAGACAGAAAGGTAGTATGAACAAAACAGGACAGTATGTAAATGATAGCTAGCTAGCTAGATAAAC